CTTGTAAAAAATCAAGACCCCAAAATTGATCGATTCCACCCAGCGCAAAGAAAAAAATGTATGAATGTGTGAAACTTTCTCTTTTCTAATCCTCGAGAGTCAAAATCGAAAAAGTTCAATATTTACGTCAATATTTTGACTCTTGACCAAATGGTGTCGGAGTCAAAATCGAAAAAAGTTGACGAAGAGGGTTGTATTGGGAAATTGTACAAGTACAAGGGGGTAAATCGACGAAATTAAGAGTACGAGGGGGTAAAGTGGTTCTTGGGCAGAGTCCAAGGGGGTAAAGTGGAATTTACCCAATCATTTTTTCCAACCACGACATTAAAAAAAAAAAAATTTATAGAGGTGCATGTAGCTAGAGTAGCTAGTCGTTCAAAATAATTTAAACTTAAAAAATGCATAATACAAATAATCGATTAAAATAGATTACCAAATATATTTTAATGTACTACCGAGTACATTAAAATCGACTGCTGTAAACAAACAAAACAACTATCAATCAGGTTCAACTTCATCAACTCGACCACACCAAATATTTATTTCGACTACTGCGTAAACCAACTACGACACTCATACAAAACAACTCTGGTCAGACTACGTGAACCCTCCTCTTCCGACTACGTGAATCCTCCTCCAAGACAAACATCTTCAGACAAAAATTATGATATATATGTGACGACGTAATTTTTTTTAAACGATTTACTTTAATACCAATTGAATCAACATATCAACACAAACATTATAATGGCTAACCACCATAACACAACAACACTTGCACATGACAGACAAAAAATAAACGAAAAAAAACTGTACATACTAACCAGATAAAACGCTCCGATCCGAGAATACTACCACGGCGGTGAAAAATTCTTCCTAGCCCGATTGTATACGCTTTGATAATGATGAAAACGATGAAAGCACCAATATACTCACGTAATTTTAATCCGTGATTATAGGCAACGTATCAGCAATCCCATATCACGTCGATAAGGAAAAACCCGCCGTCCAAAAATAAAATAGGGGTATTATAGGGAAATTAAATAATATATTATTCCAAGTTGGCATAATTAGGTGTATCTCAAAAAGGGAAATATCAAATGAATCTAGCTCATTACAAAATCTCAACAAGTGGTTATCCCTAATAAATCTTATTTATTATCACTTTAAATTTATATTCTTATTTAAAATATCAACATGTGCACCGTGTAGGACTGACTAGCTAGACATTTACAAGCTGGGCTGTCTACAGCCATAACTGCAAAACAATTAATCTATTGCCAAATTATAAAATTTATGACAAGTAGCATTCTCTGTAAGACAAATTAATTATGATTTATTATCACTTGAATTGTGTATTCTTATTTAAAATATCACAGAGAGTCCACGTGCGTGATTCATTAATGAATTGGAAAATCATGTGGCCTGAATCAGATTGATTGAGCCACCTAAAAAGGGTTCTCATATTTAATGCAACGATTCGATCCGTTAATCTTATCAAATTAGGTTAAATTACGAAAATACCTCTGAACTTATGCTAAATTATAAAAAACAACCATATATGTTCCTAAGGCTTAATTCCACTTTGCACCCTTGAAATATACCATTTTGGCACTTTGCACCCTCGAAAAATAATAATAGCACTTTGCACCCTCAAAACACAATAAATCATTCACAATGCACCCTCAATTGAATAATAAATGCAATTTTATTTTTCATTGGTGTTTTTCTTTTTGGGGTACAAAATAAAAAAAATTGTTGTTTCTTGAACCTCAAACCTAATTTCGAGCGGACAAAGTGCGAAAAAATAAAAATTACACCGGATTATTTAAAAAAAACTAAATTATCTTACAAAAGAAAAATAAAAAAAATAATCTTTTATCACTAAATTATTCGATTGTGGATCTTTTATGTCACTGTTTGTAAAATATTAGGTGAAAATATTTGGATGAAAAAATAATTTTCAGATAACTTGATAACGTAATAGCTGAATGATTTTTTTTCGTAAAATATGTTATTTTGATAAAACAATATAACTTTTAAATATGTTGATGGAATGTATTTTTATTT